GTGATCATCACAAAAGGATGGAGTAAATAGATATTACCTCTCTAAAAAAAAAAGTTATTCACATGATAAACTCTTGTATATCTCCATTAAATACCAAATTACATAATCCAGATGTATCTGGTGGGATAAGGCGTGGTTGCTTAAGTAGTAAAAAGAAATAGCAGAATAGTGGTTCAAATACAAGAGTAATACTTTTACAAAGCAATGCTATTTTCATAGTATTCATATGTAAATTCTACAATACTAATTTAGTTAAAAAATAATACTAATAAAAAATTCTACAATACTAAAACTGAACTGATACATGCAGAACTCTCAACGGTTGTAACAGAACAATTTAAAAAAGTTTGCACATACACAAAAATCTCTGCAAGTATGCCAAAATCAGCCAAGTTCCAATTAGACATTCTGCCTATGCATGCATGCGTGCATTACGTGTCGCATATTTTCACACAAGCACTTAGCATTAACTGTCACCCATGAATCCAATTCAATGCTCTCAAACTATATTTCCTTCCATTCCTAGCAGCAGGTCCCACTCTGCCACATAGCAAGGCTCTTCGCCTCACGCGGACAGCACGTGACCATCATCACCACTCCCTCCAACGCCAAAAACCTTGTCAAATCCAACCACAACTTTAACATCCACACCGTTGACTTCTCCTTCTGGCTGCTATCTTTGATGATGAATAGACTTGTTGGTCAGAATCAGATTGCCCCAATTTCCATTCTTCAATGTTCTTGTTGGTCAAGTACTTGAGTGTCTGATGACATGGCCATGGTCATTGGTGCTTCCAGCAAGATTGTGACCACACTGTTTCTTATTTCTCTCTTCATATCAGATTCATGAATTTTTCTTACATGTACATGAGAAAATTCACGAATTAAGTCAGAACACTAATTCTACTAAAATTTTAACAAATGAGGCGGTTGCCAAAGTATTGGGACCAAAACACTTAATAGTATTGCATTTGGACCCACCACATACCATTTAATAGTTTAGGCTCTATTTTCTCAAATATGAATTCAGTTGAAAATTCTCAATTAAGAGAGGAAGTTATTACTTTGAAGACCAAGCTAGCAGCTTCTGAACAGAATGTCAAGACATTACAAATAATAATGCTTGTGTATATACAAATAAGGATGGACAAATTCCTCCTGAGTTGGATGCTTTGTTAAGTATTGTCTCCGTTCCAATAGTAATGATTTTATATATTTATTTTTAATATTGAACTTAGTTATTACTTTTTAAGCGAAATTAAGTGTCTTATTCTTTTAAGCATGCTAAAATGGTGCAATGCCTTTCGTAGGATGAAGGGAGTGAAGAAGGTATTCCAACACCATACAAAAGCTCTTCATTAGATAGTAATTATCCTTAACTTGGGTTTTGAGACTTTTTTTTGCCAAATTTTTGGTTTTGTAATTAGAGTTAACATCAAATTGAGTGATGGATGCATCAGTTGAGACTATTGTGGATTGTGGAATTTTAAGATAGATTTATTTTACTTGATGGAATTTTTATTTGAGATGATAAAGCTCTGGCTGATTTATTATAGTTTCACATGATTTTGGCACTTTGCAACCTCGTTATTTTGAGATGATAAACCTTATACTTTTCTAATGTGTACCGTTGAGGCATACTCATAATATGAATGTATTTCTGCCCTTCACAAGGTAAAAGATTTTTCTCTAAGGAGTGTTTGGTATGGGATTTTTGATTGGAATGATGGGTAAGTGAGTTTGGTAATAATTTTTTACAATGTTTGGTATGAAGATATGTAAGAAATTCCTAGATAAAAAATATCCTAAGCATTTGAGTTTTTCACTAAGGACTGGATAAAAAAAATCCTTCTTTACATATGGTATTTATTTTTTCTGTTGATTTCAGATTGTGATTATGTTATTCTTCGTACGCATTTCTGTATAAATATTCAACAACTGCATGGTGTTACCTCCTTGTGTCAGTATGTTGGTAGAATACTCTTTTGATTAGTTTCAGAGAGCAAGGTGTTACCTCCTTGATTAGTTTTTGCCTTCTTAGTATTTGACAATGTAATATATCACTCATCACATGTAAAAACCGCAGCTCATGATGGAAATCAAAGTTTTTGTTTGTTGCAGTGGTGTTATAAATGATGTCTTATTTTCATAAATAACTTTTCCAACCTACAGAGATGGACCAAGTACTAAAATGAATGTTTCATACGTACAAAATTCAAAAAAGATGGATAATTTGGTAAATTCAATTAACATTTTCATCAATATTTTACCATCAACCAAACGTAACATCAGTAAAATTTACCTTACTTTCCCAGTAATATTTTGACCTACCAAACACATTTTTAATATTTTCCCGTGCAAAATATTTTCTTACCATATTCTTAGAAATATTTTTTTTCCGGTAAAAAAAAATTTCTCTTGTATCAAACGCCCCCTGAATTTTTGTTTTGTAGCATGAATGCAAATTCATATATTTATTTTGAATGGTTTTTGAAACCTATTTTAGGAAAGTTTGATGGGAATATATAGTCTTCTAGACTTTGAAAGGCTGTTCCTTGTAAGCAACCTTGTTTTTTCATTTGAGTCTGAAGATTTAAGACACTGAATTATGGCAAGTAATTAAATGAACGACAAAATAGAAAAAAAAAAACAGTAGAAAAAATAAATAAAACGTGAGATGTTCTGTAATACAATTATGACATTGCAAACTTTTAGCAATTTAAATTTGAAAATGTGTAGGTACCAAAAAAAAATAGAAAATGTGTTTTGATGATTTGTGAGTTAAAGTATATCGTTTTATTTTGTAAAAACAGTATATCATTTTTCTATTTGTGATGTGTTATTTAATGTGTTAATTTCTGGACAACTGATACTCAGCAGAGGTGGCAATATGGGTTGAGCTCGATCGCTTAATCCACCAAAATGGGACAGGTTGAATTGAAGTTTTTAGCCCACCAATTCACTTCAACTCGCTTTGCCTAAAAGTGGGTCAAAACGGGTTCAACCCGCCCCGCGTCGGCTTATATTTTTTTTTATTTTTTTTTTACAATTAATTAGTATTTCATTTGTCATTAAGTTTTTATGATATCCAAAAACTTTTTTATCTTAGTACTCCCTAGAAAAATAAAGAATAAAAATTGTATTTATGACAAATGTTATCTATATATGGAGACAGATGAGTTCCTACAGAATGTTTAACTGAATATTAGTATACATTTAAGATTGAGACCAAAAAAATTAAGAGAAGTATGAAATAAAATAAAATAAAATAAGAAAAATTCATAAAATATAATTTATTTTTGAATTTTAATTAATTTTTTAAGTGATGGGTTGGTGGGTTGACCCGCTAACCCAACATAAAACAGGGTGAGTTCATTTTTCAGTTCATATTTAATAGCAGGCCGCCCCGCCCCGTTTTTGGCGGGTTGGTGGCGCGTCGGGACGAGCCAACCCATATTGCCACCCCTAATACTTAGTGGGATCAGTTTCATATTTACTTTTTTTTTTTAGATATTTCAATCGTTTCATCATTTCGTAACTAATCTGATTCGGGGTGGATCCCAAGATTAAGGCTTTAAACCTCTCACAAAGACGATACTAGAGAGGATCAAATGCATACTTTCACTCCACCAGTTTAGGTCACTGGCGCCAAGTGAGCTACCATCATTTGGTAATATTTACTTTTTTTTTTAAGATATTCCAATTGACTCATTGCTTCGCAACTAGTCCTATTCGAGATGAGTACTGGAATTAAGACTTTAAACTCCTAATGACAATACTGGGAAGGATCGAACATATACGCTTATCTCCGCATGCTCAGTTTTATGGCATCAATTGAACTATCATCATTTAGTTCATATTTACTTTTTTTAACTTGTTGGATTTAGTCAAATGTATGGGTCCAAAGACAATGAGAGCTGAAACATGAATTTTAGAGGTGTTTGATAGAGGATATATATTTTTTACTGAGAAAAAAAGATTTTCGGAAATATGGTGAGATTTTTTTTTTCCCAGATAAGATACAAAAAGATATTTGGTAAGTCAAATTTTTTTTTTCTGGAATATTGGGTTAATTTTACTAATGCTATGTTTGGTTGATTGTAAATTATTGATGGGAATCTGAATCGAAATGACAAAATTATCCATCATTTTGAATATTGAATCTCTTGTCAGTCATCAAACATTCATTTTACCCAGACATTTTCATCTCAAAATGTTGTTACGCGTTGTCGGTGGAAAAAAGCAATACCATTTTTTTAGAATGTGTAGTTAAAAAAAATAATGGGAAAAAAATATATTAAAATTATTTTTACTCTTACTTATACCAAATATGGGGGAATTTCGCACCCCACTTTCACAACATTTCAACCAAAAAATTTATACCAAACCACCCGTTTAAAGTAATTTCAAAAGCAATGACACACACTCTTTGGAGGCTCAAAAATGTCATTTGTGGCTGTCATAAATGGCCAAAAATAAGAAACACATTGTGACAGGCATAAAATGCCAAGAAACACTAACAAATTCCGGCGGTAAAATTGAGTTATGCAAGCGGTTACATATAAATAATCTGAACTCGTCCGACGTGAAGTAATAATTGATTGAAATATTTAAAAAAATAAAATAAATACTGGAAAGCATATTGAGACGTATGGCCAGAAATATCTTTGATTGAGGTAATTGACCGCTACAATTTGCATATATAACCTCCTCCGAATGCATCAAATTTTGTAGTGTTGTGTCGCCATTTTATAGCATATTATAAAAGTGGAAGAGTTTCAATGTTTTGTATAAGTTAATATAATAATAAAAAATTTACATCCGGATCATCTTCCGCTCAAGAGATTACAGTTATCTTAAAAAAAATATTTTTTTTCTCTTTTCAATACATACATTATATTCTCTCTCCAATGACGAGTTTTCCCTCTATTTAAAGATTAGGAAACTTAGCAATAGCATCACTACTTCTACTTCCATTCAGTAGACAGACACCACCGAAAATGGAGCAAGTTAATCAACGACCCTTGAAACTATATTTCCTCCCATTCCTAGCAGCAGGTCACGTGATCCCACTCTGCGATATAGCAACGCTCTTCGCCTCACGCGGACAGCACGTGACCATCATCACCACTCCCTCCAACGCTAAAAACATTGTCAAATCCAACGACAACTTCAACATCCACACCGTCGTCTTCCCCTCCGAGCAAGTCGGCCTCCCCGTCGGCGTCGAAAGCATGAGCTCCGTCAACAACTTGGACGACGCCGCAAGAATCACCAAAGCCGCCATGCTGCTCCGTCAACCAGTGGAGCATTTCGTCAACCACAACCCACCGGACTGTATCATCGCCGACTTCTTTCACCCGTGGGTTTACGACCTAGCGAACACCTTGAAAATCCCTAGACTCGTCTTCAACACCTTCAGCCTCTTATCCACCTGCGCCATGAACTCCTTCAATTCTCACCCGGAGCTTCGTTCTGGTTCGGGTTCGTTTGTCTTCACGGATCTTCCCCACGCGATCACCATGAGCGTGAGACCACCGGAGGAGGTCGTCGACTACATTGAACCGTTGCTTGAAATGGAGTTGAAGAGTAGCGGGCTCATCGTGAACAACTTCGTGGAAATGGAGAGTGAGTACGTGGAGCATTACGAGAGAACCACAGGCCACAAGGCTTGGCACCTTGGTCCAGCCTCTCTGGTTCACAAGTCCAATGTAGAGAAAGCCGATAGGGGATACGATAGTGTGGTGAGCGCGCACGAGTGCCTGAGTTGGCTCAACTCTAAGAAACCTAACTCGGTTGTGTATATCTCTTTCGGGAGCTTATGTCGTTTCCCCGATAACCAGCTCCAAGAGATCGCCGCCGGGATCGAAGCTTCCGGCCACCAGTTTATCTGGGTGGTGGCGGAGGAGACAAAGATGGAGTTGCTGCCGGAGAGAGGGATGATACTAAGGGGGTGGGCCCCGCAGTTGGTTATTCTCGACCACCCTGCCGTTGGGGGGTTTCTTACGCACTGCGGGTGGAACTCGGTGCTGGAGGGTGTCAGCGCCGGTGTGCCGATGATAACGTGGCCGGTGCACACTGATCACTTTTACAATGAGAAGCTGATAACTGAGGTGCATCGGATTGGTGTGAGCGTGGGCGCAGAGGAGTGGGGAATCTTGGGTTTTGGGGAGAGGAAGAAGCTTGTGACCAGAGATAAAATAGAGAAAGCTGTGAGGAGGTTGATGGACGGTGGAGATGAAGCTGAAGAGATCAGACGGGGTGCGCGTCGCCTTGCCACCAAGGCTACACAAGCTGTTGCGGAGGGTGGGTCATCGCACAACAATTTAAGGGCACTAATTCATCATCTTAAACATCTTAGAGATATTAAGTCAATTGATTAATTTCATTACACTTGATTTTTAACTTCATACATGTTTGACCATTCAAAACCTTCTCTTATCAAGTCGTGAGTTTATCGCGAGCACTCCATCTAGTTTTTTTTTTTTTTTTTTTTTGAGAAAAAGTTGTTAGATTTATACATAATAAATGCTTTCTTAGGAAGTGACCTTTTTGATTTATGTGTAAATTTTTTTAAAAAAAATAAATATTTTCTACTTAATCTGCTTAACTTTTTGCGCTAGTCTATTGTTTGAAAGTTTGAATCATTTATCCGTCGAAATTTTTTGACGAAAAACAGATTCTGTGAAAAATTCCGTCAATAATTTCAACGGAATTTTTTTCAAGTCGAAAAATTCTGTTAATAATAAAGACATTTCTTGTAGTGTAAAAAGAACTCAAGAAACTTACTTGAATATAAATAGAAATGGATTAGCATGCAAAGTCATTCCGCAGCACATCCAGATAATTAAGTCATGAGATTCATCTATGATAGAATTAGAATGTATACACCCACGAAGCAACCAAATAACAATAACAATAATAAATACAATGGCAAGATTTAAAATTAGTCACAGTCTCATAGAGCTAATCATTCAATTACACCAAACAATTTACTTTCTTATAACGTATTTACTTAGGGCGCTATTACACACAATTCTTTCATAAACAAGAAGTGATAGTGGCTGTGGTAGAAGGGAAAGAAAGGAAATGCCCGTAGAAAGGTCTAAAATCGAATCTTCAAATCAGTGAAAATAAAATAGGAATATATTAGACAAATTAGTTCAATTACTAACGAGTTAAACATAGACTTAAATGGGGGGCGGGGAATTATAGAGGATGTAATTAGTAAGAAAAAAATATAGGAATATAAATGATAAAAGAGAAAACCGTACAGAGTTTATAATTTTTTTAAAAAAATAAAGACAAAAAAATATTCCTAGGATATGGTTTTTTATAGAGGTCGATTAGAGTTATGTCATTATTTTTTTATGATAACGAGATATTATCGCACTTTACAAACATTTACTATAAAAATTTGAAGAATGACTAAAATGAAAAAAAAAAACAAAACAAAACAAAATCACACTTCGTCTGTCAATGTACCATTTTTCATCCTATCCATTAGACATCCTATATAGTTTCATCCATAACAATATGATTATATGAGGATGGATGAATTTATTAAATGATATAATTTTTATTTTATTTAATAATTCTTTTTATAAAAAATACTTTTATCTATACAATCATTAGATTGTAACTATTTATTTATTTTGTATAAATTACCACTATTTATTTCTTTGTGTTCTAAATTGTCTTCATACAGCCAATATAATAGATCAACCTACAAAGACCTAGTAAGGGTCTATTCTCTTTTACACCTCATATTGAGCATATGAAACTCACGGGGATATTTTTTTACCTTTACACAACTCACCATTGTACGTGCAGGATGGTGAGACTTTTTACTACAATTGTGAGGATTTGGCTAATGGTTTTGCCTTATCGCTTACTCTTTCATTATTAGGTAATATTTTCCTACGTGTATAAGTTACTTTCCTCCCGTAGAAAAGACACATGATATTTCATATTTTCATAAATTATTATTCTACCCGATTTTAGAGCCACTGTAACTTACACACACTCCTCATTTTCTCAACCTTCGAGAGATTGCATCTATGATGACCCTGCAAGAGCTTTATCGAAATACTTAATCCCTTGAGGGATGCAAACTTAGTAGTTACTCCATTACAACTTACCTTAATTGTTTATGTCAACACTTATGAAATTTAACAATAATAAAAATTCATTATATTTAAAAAGTGTATAAGGTCAAACTTAATATTCAAAATATCACACAATTTTAAATTGATATAATATTGTATAAATATAATGTATATATAATATACATTTTTAATCTATTCTAAAATTTAAAAATAAAATAGTAGCTTCGTAAGATAAAGCCTGCCTTCGTTCATATAGCTTTGGGCCTAATTGGAGGCGGTGGCCCAGATAACACAGCCAGGAACAATTGGGAACTGTGAGAGTGAGATGAACACAGGCTTCGGTTCAGTGCAAACATAGATTTTTATGACGTATTCAGTGACGGTCTTCAACGTATGGTGACAAGGGTCAATCCTCTTCATGGTTTCATATATTTACAAAGTATGGTAGTCGTGTTTTTCAGAATTCTCAAAAAATTAAATTTTTTAAATTTTTTAATTTTCAAATATTATAGTAAATTAAATATTTTCGTTATATCTTTAAAGGACTTGGAGTTTATCATTTTAAATGATATAAGTTATGTCATTTTAAAATAAAGATAGACACAAAAAATAAAAATTATGGAAAAAAGAAAGTGGGTTGGTTCTTTTAATTTAAATTTATATAAAAAAATTTATTCTGTGTCTATATTTATCTTAAAATGACATAATTTTATTTCATTTTAAAATGGCAGTTTAAAAATCAAAATTCTCGAATAAAAAAATATTTTATTTACCAAACGCTTTTTCTATCTTTAAAAATCAAAATTCTCGAATAAAAAAATATTTTATCTACCAAACGCTCTCTTGTAGCGTTGCTTCTCTTTCCTGTTACTCATCCTCAAAGGTCATAGAAGTGTGACTACTCACTATCTTTCTCTGCAGTCAGTGACTCATCATTAGCATATCTTAGCTGCCATGTCAAGTGCTCAGTGTTTTGAGAACCCACCTAACCTGAACTCAGGTATCCACGGAGCAGGGACTGTCCTTGAACTTGGAGGACTTAAATACTATGTCACTGGACCTCATGATTCCAAATTGGCACTCATCCTTATTTCTGATGTATTTGGTAAAGTAAAACAACCCATCACCAATTTCTTATCTTTGTACTTGTGTTACTTTTATCTTATGTTAACTGTGTCGTTTACATTATTCAACTATATATATATATATATATATATATATGCATGCTTGCTCTCAAATTCAACACAACTCTGAATATGGGCTTTTCCTGAAACCATAAAAAAAGGAATAAGAAAGATAGCTAATAAAGCATGCTTTAAGTCACAACCTGTTATGCTTATGAGTGGTGTGTGTTCCACCACTACCTGCATTAATTTTATAAGAACTTGACTCATGCATGAACTCTGGATCAAGGAAAGTGTAGGTGTTTCAAGTTTGATTGAGAACCGTCATGTTTTGAAGATACTTGCAACATAAATCTAATCGTAAGTTGTTTTGGAAAATTTTCAGGTTATGAATCACCAAATCTAAGGTAAATGAAATTTTCACTACTATGGCTCCTTTGTACGTTATATGAATATAAATATTGAATCCCTTGTGCCTATGCTCTCCATGATAATTGCAAGGGGAATCTGGGAGAGTGGCTGGAGTGAGTAGGACTGTATATTAAGGATTTATAATTTCCTTTTTTTTTTCTCAATTTGACCAATCGCTTGAGGAAGATGGAATCTCTTGATATTAGTATTTGATTTACAATCTGCCATAAAATTAACAAAAGTTGAAGCTTCTCCTTATTTTATTTTAAGCAATGATCATTTTTATGTAACAAGCCCCTCAAGTTAGCTATTATTAGGCTTCAATGCTTCATCACTGAATCAGATTTACTTCCTGTGAGATTATTTGCAATAGCTTTGACATTCACTCACTGTAAAGGAAACTTGCGGACAAAGTAGCTGCAACTGGATTCTTGGTTGTTGTTCCTGATCTTCTGTATAGCGACCCCTTTGATATGGATAATCCTCAATTCGATCGAGTTTCATGGCTAAATGCTCATGGAGCGGTTAGTTTCCTGCTCATAGATTTAGTTTTGTTTTTTTTTTTCTATATCTAATTTCCTAATTCATATCATAGCATTCAGCCTGGTCACTTGTTGGTTTGCATAAGATTTTACTATTACAATATATTTTAAGCAAACATGCTATATATTTTCCTTATAGGATAAGGCGTGTGAAGACACCAAACCTCTAATTGCTGCTCTAAAGAGTAAAGGTGTCACAGCCATAGGGGCTGCAGGTTTCTGCTGGGGAGGTGACTCATTTTTTTGCTTATAAAACTTCATTATCGATTAACGAAAAGAAATAATTAATAAATCCCTGTAATAAGGGATGTGGAATGGTTTAACTTGCTAGCTTTGTTCCAGGGATGGTGGTTCTTAAATTGGCAATTACCCGTGACATTCAGGCCGGAGTTATTCTGCATCCTGCTCCATTCATAGACAATGAAGTTAATGGTAAACTTGTGCTTTTCAGTTTTCTGGTTAAACAAATAATTATAGAGATTGGTGACAAACTTAACTTAGTTTTTCTTCAGAGGTCAAGGTTCCTATTGCTATATTGGGAGCTGAATTTGACATTTATTTTCCACCAGAAAGGTTGAAACAAATTGAAGAGATGTTGTCTGTAAGAGCAGAGGTGAGAAATTTGGGGGAATCCTTTGTTTATTCTCCTGATTAGATTTCCTTTGCAAAAACTAATTTCTTCAAACCTTAACCCCTAAACAAAATTCCGAATTTTTTGATGAAGCAGCTACAATGACCTCCGGAGGTTTTAGGATTTTATTACAGTTAGAAAATAGTCCAGCAGAATTGAAGCATCAGTGTCCTCAATATTTGAACAATAAAAAACTGTTTTGAATGCAAATAAATTCCGTCTTCCCTATAAGAGTAGTGTCATCACATTCTCCAATTTCTATTAACTACCCTAGTCAAAATATCAATATAGGTTCACTTTCGACTCCAAGTTGTTTATGCTTTTTTTATCAGTTTGAAAGCTTTGTGAAGCTATACCCTGGTGTTGGCCATGGATGGACTGTGCGGTACAATGTTGATGATGAAGCAGCTGTTAAGAGTGCAGAAGAGGCCCATCAGGACATGTTGAATTGGTTTATCAAGCATGTCAAGTGAAGATTGTTTTCACCACCAGAAGATGCCTCCTGTTATTGAAATCAAGTTGACAGAAAATCTAGTTTTTATTGAGAGATGGTTAATGCATAAGTCTTGGATTAAACGGCATTTCTTGACCGTGGCTTGTAAGTTCACTCTTTAATTTTTTATGTTCGATATATTAAAGGGAGTAAGTAGTATTAGCTACAGATAGTTTCAAGAATAGAATATCCCGAAGAATAATCAGTACCGTATAGTGTTTCAAGAATGAATATCCCGAAGAATAATCAGTAAGTTTACTCTTGTCTTTATGTTTCGTGCTGTAATGATTAGGTAATAATGTTTAGGTTTGTCCCTTCACCTTAATTTATGTCCTTTTTATTAATATTTCTGTTTTGTTGTATTCGTATTTTGTGTATTAGTTTGATGTTGTGTCGCTATTTTATATCATATTACAAAAGTAGAAGAGTTTCGATGTTTTGTATTGTTAATCTTCCTTTTGATTTGTGTGATCTTGAAACTACATTAAAAATTTAAGGCAACATTCTGAATGAAATTTTATCTATTTATCAATCTATGTAATTGGAATTCTATATATCCTTAAGATTAGGTTTGATAACTATGGGGAATTGTTTCCTCACGTGGCTGAAAACAATTTTCCGCATGCACATCCATAGAAACTTTCACAAGCATTTTTTTTTTTTTTTTAAAGAAAAAGTAGGTCCCATGAATTTTTTTTTTCAGCATAAGATAACAAATTTGTCCTGCATATTATTCTTATACAACCTTATAGCCATTTTATAATCTGTTTCATCCACAAAACACACAGAATTATGCTTGTTAGAGGGGAGAGGAGGAACCAGCTTTCTTGGAATAATTCCATCGACTCAACCGCAAATTGGACACCTAATAATTATGTCTTAGGGTCCGATGGATTTTTTAAAAAAGGACCTTTTATAGGGTTTTTTTTTTTTAAAAAATATTTTTTAAAAAATTCAAAATTATTTTATATTTGAATGTAATATTTAAAGCAAAAAAGTCATTCGTATGTTCAAACAAAAAAAGGGTCATTTTATCAAGGGTTTTATAAAAATTATGTTGTAGAAAAAATAAACTTGTTATGTTATACAAATTCGTTTCCGTGACTTAATTTTTTTTTTTTTGTTTCAAAAAATATGAATCTCATAAAATATTATATTTATAAAAAACTCTTTTTTTCTTGTCGCATGACGCAAATCCCTTTTATCAAACACTAGCAAGGTAATAACATGTTTGGGAGCTCCACGGAAACTGACCGTATAGTGTTCAACAATCATGACACAGTACTCCAAATTCAACTTTTAGGGCAATGTTATTAAAATCGGCTTGTTCATTGACTCGGTCGAGGTACTGGGTTACTGCGTCAATGGTTCAATCAGTGGGTCACTGGTTCAACCGCATGACCCGGTAATTATATATAATTTTATAATTTATATTAAAAAATTATAAACATACTCAAATATCTAAAAAAAATAATTAAAATTTCAAAAATATTTTAATATAAAAAATAATAAATCACATATTATTATCCAATAAAGGATCAAACAAAAATATAATGATCGTGATACGGGGCTTTAGGTTCAAAAAATGACATCCCTAACTATAAATCAAATCAAATTTTTTTACATAGTGCATAATTGAGATAATATTAGCATTGTAAATACATAACTTGTGTAAGTTAATAAGCCAAAAAATATTTAAATATGTTCATTATAATTTATTTTTTTTGAAAAAAAAAATTTAGAATTTTTTTTTGTGACCGGGTCGGGTCACCGGTTAACCGACCGGGTCACTGGGTTTAATAAAAACCGGCCGGGTCGGACCGGGTCACACCGGTTTTGATGCATGGCCGATCCGTTGCTTCAACCGGACCGGTTATATGACCGGTTTACCGGTTCCCGGATCGACTCGGCTGGGTCGGTCCGAGTTTAATAACACTGCTTTAGAGCTTCAATTTTGCTTCCAATTAAAGAATATGAGGTAAATATTTTTGCAGTTACTTTAAATAAGATTATCTACCTTTTATAACTATGTGTTAGTGGTAGTATATAGTTATAACATTAAAGTTGTTTTTTTTATCTCTTCTCTCAGTCACTTTTCAAAACATTATAATTATGTACTATTGATAATACATAGTTATAAAGAATAACTGTAAATAACTTTATCCAGTCTCGCTGTATAAATATTTTTTTCTTTCAAGGAATACATATAACTATATATTCTACGATCTCTGAATTGACAAAAATCATGAAAGAAAAGGAAAACAGCAACAACTTTTTTTTTAATACATTTTACTCATATATGACTCCCCTCCACAGACCAGACTTAACCACCAACAACAACAACAAGAATCCCATAATGATGCCAACAGAACCCTAGCCTAGTGCGAAATCAGAACCATAGCCACTTGTCTGCAATTGCTTTTCTTCCTTCAATGACTACGAGTCTCTCTCTAGTACAAAATTTGTTACTGGTTGAAGCTTCTCTAGTGTGAAATACTCTCTAGTTCTGGTGCAAGCTTCTCTATCGTAACCCTTGGAGCGAAACTCATTTATAATGTGAAACCTATTTCAACAAGCAAGTTATGGGTTAACTTTTGGTTTCTACTTTTGGAAGGAGCTAGAAATTTTAGCTTTTTAGAAAAGAAGGATTTTAATTTATTTTTTTAACTTCTGCTCCCTCTTTTTCAGGTTAGCATCCAAACATCAAACAAATTCTAAAAATGCTTTATTTTATAAAAAAAAAATAACTTTTGAATGGAAAAAAAGCTCATCTAAACAGTCTCTTCCACAGTCGAATTAATAGTCCGGTTATTTTGAGTAAGTCAAAATAATAATAAAAAATTAGTTGAACCCACCATTCATCAAAACTTCAATAAAATCTTATATATAAAAAAAAGTGTGTATCATTCTAAAGGATGTAAATTGTGTCATTTTGTTTACAAAAAAAAAAAATTGTGTCATTTTAAGTGATAGAAAAAGATGGATAAAGGAGGAGAGAGAGTGGACAAAAAATATAAAGGTATGGGTCTCACCTTTTTATTAAAGTAAAATGATATAAGTTGTGTCATTTAAATAGACAAACACTTTTCTTTATATATTTCGTTATTGTTTTATAAATTTCATGTTTATGTGTGGGAACAATTCGTATGATACCATCAAATTCGACTCATCAATTTAAAAACAATTCAACTTTTGGGAATGGTGACTTCCAGTAGGGAATAAAGTCACTATTACAAAATAACAACCATTACCTTTCATTAAATCAAAACTACCTTTCCAGTAAAAAAATAAAATAAAAAAAACAAAACTTACCTAAATTCCAATTTAATTATTTAGTCTACCTGAATCTATTATTTTATGTCATGATTATTTTTAAATTTTAAATACCCTTGGTAAGCAGTTCTTTTTTTGGCAGAATTCTTATTATCACATAATTAATATATGAAAACTTTCATTAAAAAAGGGTAGGCATGTATTAGAGGATAATTTCTCACATATTGAAAAAGTTTGAGGACCTTTTCTTAAATTTAAAATTCTAAATTACGTATAGTTTAAAGTTCATTAGTGTAAATTGAAACTTTCTTTAGTAATTTCAGAGGAAATTCATAATAACATTACTAGTAGTAATAATAATAATATAAAAATCAAGCAAATTACTAGATGAACTGATTCTCAACATGACATCGAGAGCTTTCTCGAGGAAAGAGATTCAATCCTCTTATGCTAATTCCCTTTACTTGTGTATGCGGTCCCAAAAAAATAAAAATAAATAATCAACCTTTGCCAAAGTTTCAACGGCTGTTTGCAGAGGATTTTTTTTTAGATTCTCGGAAAAGTGAGAGTGATAATTCAATTTATTTATATTTGATAGAAGATTTTTGATGAATTTTTTCGGAATGCGATTTTCTCAAGATTTTATTTTGTGTGTAAAATATAAACTAAAATACCATCTGAGAATATCATCCAGAAAATAAAAAATTAGATGCAAAAATTCTAGTAATATTTTAACTTATCAAATAATTTTTTGATAAATAATTTTGAAAAACTCATTTTTTCACTATATTTTCAAAAATCATGATTTTCGGATAAAATAAATTTTCCTAGGCCAAACGCGGATAAGAAAACTGAAAAGTATATGTGAGGAGAATAACTTCAATACATTAAACAATGATTAGTTTCACACCTAAATATGTCGGAAATTTTATTCAAGATCAAAAAACAATTTTTTAGAATGAGTTATCTTCATATACTTAATTTGTGACAATTAGCTAATAAACTAATCATTTTATATGAATTGTTTTTGTGAACTTGAGTTATAAACCCGACACATAAGATTCTTTACATTTAAATTAAGGAAAAAATGTGTATTATTTTAAAGGATGTAAAGTTGTGTCATTTTAAGTGAGAGAAAGAGATAGATAAATGAGGAGAGAGTGGACAAAAAAGTATAAAGATGTGGGTCCCACCTCTTTGTGAGAGTGAAATAATATAAGTTGTGTCATTTAAAAAGACAAACATTTTTCTCTTAAATTAAATATTTTGAATTAATATATAAAAAAAATTGAATTGTGTATAAATGCCCTCAAAAGAATATGTACATGCTTGACTTTATTAATTTTACTTTAATTTTTTTTTTAAAAGTATAATATTCAAAATAATATGCTGAAAATATTTACCAACAATGTATAATTTTGCAAAAGTTGTTAAAACAGATAAATAATTTGAAAAATTGTACCTAATAAATTAGTGGTATGATTGAAAAAAAAAAACCTTGGATTGAACTTTACAAAAGCCCTTTTTAATGTACAATTTTGTTAAAATAATAAAATATCATTGCATATTTAATTCCAGTAAACAACAGACAAGTAATATTTTCACGGAAAAGAAAAAAGAAAAAGAAAGAAATTGAAGATTTTCAAAAAAAAAATTCAAACTAAATGGACATGGGCCATGAAAGAAAGGGCAAAAAGTCCAAGAGAGGAGAAGCTGTTGACGGCCCAAAAACTGATTGCTTCTAAACCCTAAACACACACACGCATGGTCGTTTTAAACGTGTCTTCTCCAACTCATTGCCTTCTTCTCCACCCGCGCCGTTTCCTTAGTTTTCTCTGTTCTCTCTCGGTAAGATCTGCTTTCTATCCAATCGTCGTTTTTTGGTTCCAACTACGATATCTGGTTGTGGGTTATCCTGGATTTGTTTTGCTTTCCTAGTTATCTTACAATTTATGATGCTAAATTGGTGTTATACTCTTTGGGTATTGTATCTTATGCTGTACTAGCAAATTAGAGGATACCCTTTTTAAAAAAAATTTGTCTTTTAGAGGAATTCTTAGCTATTTTGTTTTTTTTTTCTCTCTCTCTCTGTTTTATGATCGTGAGAATACACACACAACTTTAATTATTTGTGGTGTTCAGAATATTGTTGAGTTTGTTCATAAGCTAGTATGACATATAGGTTGTTTAGGGATTAGCAATATGTAAGATAGACTTGCAGCTTCTCTTCAGATTTTCATCCGATGTGTCTCCCACTCCAAGATAAATAATAAGGGAGGATGAATATGGTTGTGTTATTGGACTTTGCAGTTTTAGGCCTTGAAAAATGGAAATTCTTGTTTGTTGTTTGTTTTAGCTTAGCATATGGTTGAAATGCTTGTTTGTTGTTTGTTTGTTTCAGCTTAGCATTTGGTTTGCACAACATTGGTTTATGTCGGTGTGGTTAATTCTTGTGTTATTTGTAACAGTGATAATGGTGAGGGTCAGTGTCTTGAATGATGCTCTCAAGAGCATGTACAATGCTGAGAAGCGGGGGAAGCGCCAGGTCATGATTAGGCCGTCCTCAAAAGTGATTATAAAATTCCTTTTGGTGATGCAGAAACATGGTATTTCCGTATTTCGTGTTTGTCAATCTTTTTTTTGGTTGAATGGTACCTCGATTGATTACAGTTGGCCTTATAGTTATTTAGTTTTTGCCTTGATTTGGTATGCTTATGATTTCTAGGGTACATTGGAGAGTTTGAGTACGTTGATGATCACAGGGCTGGAAAAATTGTGGTTGAATTGAATGGTAGACTGAACAAATGTGGAGTTATTAGTCCCCGGTTCGATGTGGGTGTTAAAGAGGTAGAAGGTTGGACTGCTAGGCTGCTCCCCTCAAGACAGGTCAGCTTAAAAGCCCTGTTTACTTATTTTATATAATTTCGGAGATGTTGTCCTTTGACCTTATTATAAAAGACCTGAAACTAGTTAAAAACATTTCTCCTTGTATTTTCCCAACTTCCTTTGCTACAGATCATCTTCTATTGGCTTAATACTTTATGGAATATGAGAATTTAAATAGCATAATTATTTTAGTTAATAGAGGTCTGAGTTTATGAAAAACTGTCTTGATGATCGAGTCCATATTGCTATCATCAACTTTCTTTTTGTTCAATTTTTTTTACTTAATATGCAAACCACCTATAAAGCATGGATGCTTTAGAAATTATGCTATATATATATATATATATATATCTAACATGTTTCCAGTACCATCAGAGTTGGGTACTTAGGGGTGCATCTTAGATTTAGATCCAGCTGAAGGCAGAATTTTGTGTGTGTCTCTCTCTCTCTGCTTGTGTGTAGGTGTTTTTTTTTTCCCTGCAAATTTTCCAAACCCAACTTGTTTTTCCTCTATAGTTTTGTAATTTTCTCTTTTCATGTTTCCGTCTCAAATTTATCTATAATGTAATAACCGCTTGCCATAGATTTGTGCTCTACAATTTTCTGGTATACTGTTTCTTCTGTTTTGGACTCTACTTGTATGATTTGACGTGCTTTGCCTGTATCCCATAATTTTTAATCATACGGGTACCGATATAGTCTTTGTACAAATGGTTTCTATTGTTGCCCTGACCTTTGATTGGGAAAATATGCAGTTTGGGTATATTGTGCTGACCACCTCTGCTGGCATCATGGATCATGAAGAGGCTAGGAGAAAGAATGTTGGTGGCAAAGTGCTGGGTTTCTTCTATTAGTCTAGTTTTCCTTTAAAAATTTTGCACTTGTTTCAGTTTTTGAGACTTACGGGTTGTAATGAACGAAGTGCTTGTCCCGTAGTATTATTATCAAGTATAGCGTAGCAGGATCTGTTTATTTTATGTTATTTGTTTTGTTTGCAAAAACAATTTGTTTCCGATAAATTTATCTGATTTCTTCGTCAATATTTTTCCTTTACCAAAATGTATTGGCTGATTGGATTTAACGGGTAAGGCTTGATGAGAAAGGGCATTAGCTATGGTTGAATTGGTATGGACCGTATGGTCCAATGAGGTATGATATTGCATTGATTGAATTGAATTCTCACCTTTAATGTTTTTTTCTTACTTCAAATAGCCTGTCTTATAATTTTTTTTCAAAATTTATTATAATAAATCAAGGGAAAAGTGTTTGTCATTTTAAATGAAAGAAAGTTATATCATTTTAAGAGAGATACAGACACAGAAAATTTGAATTTTAAATTAAAAAAAAATCACCCATTTTTTTTCTCCCATGATTTTTGTTTATCTTTTTTCTAAAATGACATAACTTATGTCATTTAAATTGACAAACACCAAACTTATAAATCATTGTTTTGTATGTCCACATTTTTCAATTTTCTATTTACAATTTTTTTTTTTTAATTTGTGTATAATATCTACATACTAAACTGTATGTGAACTTTTTATTCTTCGTTTAATGATTTATACGTATTTAAATTTTAAAATTTATTTCACATTTTGAGATGATTTGAAGTATTAGCCAAGCTATATCAAGCATGGCACTTATCCGTTGTTGTGGTGGCGTATACATTGTAAAACGTCAAGGTTATTAAGTGACGGTATTAAAATTAAACAATGATCTTCCAAAATTATGTTTACACATATCTTAATATTCTCATGCAAGTGTATGGATAATATTATGATCTAGCTATATTTTTTTTAACCGTTATTTGCGCAAGTAATTTTTCAGTCTTCATATAGATTTACACCTATACTCAATTGACTTCTGGTAATGCAATATAATTATATAACTTTAAAAGTGCAAGTTCATGTCTTGTATATATAATATTCGCGTGAAGAAAGGAACGCAATATGCGGATCAGGAGTAGAATGTGTACACAAAAGAGTTTTGTATCTTAATCTTAATTGTGTTATGTTATTTTTTCTTGAAATTATTTTATAAACTAGTCAATGAAATGAGTGTTTTTTTTATTTTTTTAAATTAAAAGTTAAAAAAAAACCAACTTAAATAAGTTTTGAAATTTGATTTAAAAAAAATAAAAAATAGATATAATTTTTAGATTTATTTTTATAAAAATATATTATCTAAGAAGTTTTTTGTTTTTTATTTTAAAAATTAAAAAATTATTTTTGAAAATGGAATTGTGTGTAATGAACGAGGTTACTTGCACCTGCATGATGAGGGAGAGTAAATGTTAACTTGTAGATATAATGTTTCTAAAAATATTCTTCCGATTGGTGTTATACTCCTTGGGTATCGTATTTTATGTTGGACTAGCAAATTAGGGGATACCCTTTTTAAAAACAAAATAAAATTGTCTTTTACAGGAATTCTTAGCTATTTTGTTTGTTTTTCTCTGTTCTATGATCGTGAGAATACACTCTCAACTTTAATTATTTTCGTAAATTCAATGATTATAATTTATTGATTAATGTTTATTAATTAATAATTAATAATTAATTTTTAATAAATTATAATTATTAAATTGGCAAAAATCAACGGTTAATATTTGATTTAATACTTGTTATTCTTATGCAAGTATAAATTAATAGGAGATAAAATTATCTCTTACACATACGTAAAAATATGTGAAACACAATTTTTTTCTTTATTTTCTTTACATGGGCCCATACATTTTTATGTCTGCATAGAAAATAAATTTATCTCTTACAACTCGAGAAATATTAAACTCATATATATAAAATAGGTTTATAATATGGATTTAGGGGGTGTTTGGTAAGATAATTTTTTTTGTCCGGAAATCACGATTACCAGAAATATGATGGGAAAGTAAATTTATCAGGAATTTGATCAAAAAGTTGTTTGATAGGACAAAATATTACCAAAAATGTTTTTCTTGAGTCAATTTTCTTGAGTCAATGTTTAGGTTGATTGTAAAATATTGATGAGAATATGGACCTAAATTACAATTACACCCTCGATTTAGAATAATCAACATGCCGTTGTCAACTTAAAATATTACAAGAAGACAAAAGAAGGTAAAGAGGAAGACATGATGGGAAGCATTACATATTCTTTCGTCAACTTGAAGCCTTATATGGAGAAAACAGTAATCAAACTCAGTTCCAGAAACCAATAATCTTGTTACCAACCTTCATTTCCAAACATTACCATGAGATGTTTCAGTCTCAAAAGCATTGTGATAGCCTCAGTCTCACTAACTCCACTGACTTTGGAACATCTTCATCCAATGATGACAATGACCATAGCAAGGGGACAACGACCATTTAGCTACTTTTTTGGCAAAAATTTATCGGATTGCCACGTCAGGAAATTTTTTTGTCAAAATGTCACGTCATCAAACTGTGCAGCGAGATTACATAACACCCTGTCAACAAGTTTAAGGCCACGTAATCTCACTGCACTGTGGAATGAGATTACGTGGTAGGGCCTAATTCGCTGCATTGTGCAGCGTTTTATATGGCGCTAGTAACAATTTGACACGTGGATTAAGAGGACGAATAAATGCTGATTTATTTTTTGTTTTTTTTTTGGAAAATATAATACACAATAAAGACGATAGAGTGTCCATGGAAAAATGATAAAGATGAATTAATGTCTAATAAATGTTGATTTGTTTTTTGTTTTGTTTTTGGAAAATATAATACACAATAAAGACGATGGAGTGCCCATCTAAAAACGATAAAGATGATTTAATGTCCAATAAATACTGATTTGTTTTTTGTTTTCTTTTTGAAAAATATAATACACAATAAAGACGAAGGAGTGTCCAGATGAAGTCAGCGGCGGACCCAGAAAAAGTAATTCATGTCTGCACATTTAGTGGTGGAGGTGCCCCTGAAATATTTTTTGATATAACTTTCACGTAGAGGTTTCCCTACATTGTTACTAAACATCTCATCTTAAAAATTATTCACTCCTCTTCTTATAAAAGAACAGGTTTCCCTACATTGAATGGTTATTACTAAACAACATATGTACTTATTCTTGTTGTCTATCTCAAATTATCACACAACATAAGCAAAATTTTATAAGGCTTGGCTCGCAATTCATAGTATAATCTTCTATATGACAAGATAAATAACCTTCTAGTCCCTTTATATGCACAAGTGACCAAGTATTGGTCTTAATGAAAATTAGATTATTGGATTATCAATCTACTAATTTAGTAATTCCTTATGCAAAATGAAAATTTGAATTTAAATAAAACGCAAACCCCCCCCCCCCCCAAAACCCAATTAGATAGCTCACAGCTCAAATGTGAGTGTTGAATAGCATTGTGACCATTCTATGAAGAACGCGATCTATCAAAAGTTCAGGAACTTCTTCAGTGTCTCATAATGAGGGTTTCCCCTTCAACAAAGGGTGTCCCCTTTAACAATTGAGCCCCTGTCCTGTTTTTCCAAACTAACAAATCTAAATCCCTCTATTTCTACCCTCATACTATTTAAACTAAGCCACTGCTCTTTGAACTATAATCACCTAATTAATTTTATATCTACTTCATAAGTAACTCTATAACTTACTAACTTCCTTATCCTATCAAAGCTGAAGAAATATTTAAGGGGATCTCCTTGTCTTTTGCAAGGGACTGAAACTTCGCTATATAGAAAATCCAGACTAGCTCATCGATTTCAGAGGAAGCTCTCTGTGCACACGAACAAAAAGTTACAATGAAAGTAGATAATAAAACATTGGATTTGGAGATTTAGAATAACTATAGCAGAGGCATTCACAAGAAAAAGATATTCTAACAAAATCTAAAGGCAAGAAAAAAAAGCTGTTTAACAAAAACTAAAGATATTCTAACTGAATATGTACAAAAAAAAAAAAACTGGAAAACTGAATATGAAACTAACCTGTTTAACAAGGAAAGGAACGTGGGAGAGAGAAGGTGAGAAGAAGGGGAAAGTCTTTGATGTTGTAGTTGAGACTGAGATGGTGTTTCCCTTGATTCATAATTGTCTTGCAGCAGAAAGAGAGAGAACGGGAGACGGGGAGAGGTAGCGTGTAGGTTGTTGCAAACTCAAATTTTTTTAAAGATTTTTTGTTCAAATTTTCATGTCCGCAAGTGCGGTCATGTGCGCCTACGTGGGTCCGCCGTTGGATGGAGTATTCATGGAAAAACGATAAAGACAATTTAATGTCCAATAAATGCTGATTTGTTTTTTGTTTTCTTTTGGAAAAATATAATACACAATAAAGACGATGGAGTGTCCAAATGGAGTGTCCAAATGGAGTATCCATTGAAAAATGATAGAGACAATTTAATGTCCAATAAATGTTGATTTTTTTATCGGTCCTCCCAATCCACATGTCAAATTGTTACTAGCGCCACATAAAACGCTGCACAATTCGCTGCATTAGGCCCTGCCATGTAATTTCGCTACACAGTGCATCGAGATTATGTGGCCTTAAACTTGCTGACATGATGCCACGCAATCTCGCTGCACATTGCAGCGAGTTTAGTGACGTGGTATTTTCGCAAAAAAAATTCTTGGCGTGGCAATCCGGTAAATTTTAGCCAAAAACGTGGTAAAATGGTCGTTGTCTCCCTTAGCAAGAGCATAGATTGAAGCCAGAGATGCTGATTTAATGGAGGCTTTGCAAACATTAACATGAAGAGAATTAAAAGCTGAAGATGCTCCTGAAAGTGTAATGGTAGCTGAAATCCATAACCAAAGTGAAAACCAAAATGAAGATAGAGACATAGCTGGAGCAATATTAGGGTTATTTTTTACACAAATTTCGCATCTACTTTTTCATTTATTCGGGAAAGTCACAATACCACCTTCTAGGTGGTATTTCTCGTTGGGAATTTGGTCTAAGATTACACACAAAATGGATTCCTAGTAATATAATTTTCCCGACAATTTTTTTTTTAAAAGTGCTACCAAACATGGTATTTTTGGATACCTACCCTCACTTTCCTAAGCATTCCAAAAGAATCCTCTTACCAAACACACCCTTAGTGTTTG